CAGTTACAACATCCCGTCAGTGTCAGGGAGTGTTGGTAGCGCATCCCCCCCCTCTGCCCCAATAGCAGGTACTTTTTATCAATGGATAATTCCTTTTATTCATGTGTCTAGTCTAGTAAAAACTTGCTTCCTTTGACCCTCCTTACTTTACTTTGGGAATCAATGCCAAGTACGCCTGCATAACAGATTAATTTTAACTTATACTTCAAATCATTAAGAAATTTGCTAATTTTAGTATCTCAGTAGCTAAGGGGTGGAAGGAGGGCTACAGGCTTTGCCTTTCCTGCTATTCAGTACTCTGTTTTCTGTATACTCACAGCCTTTGCTGGCAACCTTCTGCTGATCACAAGATGTCCTTTTGACAGTGGGAATTGTAGGGTGAACAGAGGTGGCTAAAGTTCACCTCTTGATAATGTAACAAAGGAGCTGCAAAAAAAAAACTGATTTTGTTGTTGTTCTGTCATTGTGTGTATTTTAATATTTTGTAGTGCTTTCCCCTTAACTTTTAAAACCCTTTATTTCTTCTTTTTAGCAGCAGTAATACATTACTTTTGAGATTGCTGCCTTTAAACGCTGCTGTAAATGACAGGTGGCTGGAAGAGAATCCAAAGGACACCATCAAGAACAAGCAGAGATTTCCGATGTGTTTCCTGTGAGAGTAATGGGAAAGGACTGGGAATTATTTCTTCTAGAGCTGATTGAGGGGAAAATAGAATCCATATGTAGAGAGTTACTGCAGAGAGGATGTCCTGATGGGAAGAGAAGTGGTTGGGTTGCATTGCAACAAGGGATATTCAGGTGAAACACTGGAAAACACATTAATGGGAAAGATAATCTAGTGTAGACAGCAAGAGCAAAAGCAGTAGTATTTCTGAGAGTGGTCATCAGTTACATAAACATTTCTCAGGTGTCGTTTAGTTAGCACTGGTTTAGATCTAGAGAAAATGAACTAAAAGACCCTTTTATTCTATGACAGTCTGAAAGATCTGATTATGAAGATGCAGTGTGTTTATACATGCAAAGAAAAATGCTTAATCCCAAATGACTGTTTTGTCCTGGGCTGAACCCAGGACACCATGTGATTATCTTTTTAGTTTATAAATAAATCCTCATGAGATGAATAGAACATCAGTTAACAAGATCAGAAAAATTTTTATGTATACACTGCAAATCCTACAGACTTGATTGACAGAGAAACCAAGCCTAAGCTTATACATGAGTCGTCAGTTCACTATAAATACATGAGTCTTTTAGCCATTATGTAGCCTTATGGCACATTAATTTTATGAAGTGAAGATGAACATTGAGCAATAGTAAAATGCACGTAGAATACAAGTCCTGTAACACATGCCTTCTGGGATACGTAGCAGTCATCAAGTTGCTGAGATTTTTGTTGCAAGACCTGTATCTAAAAGGAAGTTCAGTTTTATGTTGGAATATATGTATAGAATACAGTGTTAGCTATCTTCCAAAATAGTCAGCAGGAGCTAACATGGCAAGATGGAAGGAAAAAGCTCAAAGTATTTTGATGGGGCAAAACTTCATGTGATGCCTAATAAGTCTGGTCCCAGAAAGTAAAGTGAGCTTCTTTACAGAAGTGCAATTGTATCTTCAGTTAAATGCTGTTGCAAAAAATTATTTCTCTAAAACTTGTATGAAAAATAAACAATCTTGGACTCAGGCTTTGACCCTGAGAAGTGCTGAGCACCACATTTTAATCATCTATTGTTTATGTCTGTGCAACTTAATAATGAGTTTGAGCATTAGTGTATGATTGCCATCTGCTAAATTCAGTGATCTATGGAACTAGCAGTCAGCAAACTTTGAAGGTGGAATTGATATAAAATACATTTGTTCATTAGTAGATATAGCAAAATGGGAATTTAAAATTTAAATACTAATGAATATATGTATTTCCAAATGTATCTGAATGGAGTTAGTGGTTTTTTTTCAGAATTGTGTAGTCAGCTGTATAGATGCAAGTTGTTCAGAAGCATTATCTTGTATATCTATTAGTCATGCCACTTTAGTTTCTGGTCTTATTAGTTAAATAGATTCTGGCAAAGATAATACTTGTTTAGAAGTCCTGCCGAAAGCATATTATTCATTCAGTAGCAATATATATATGAACAGTATGGCCGGTGTTCCTGCATCATGGTTTGAATGACCTGAACACTACATGTTTTATAAAAGGTGCCTTAAAGCAAAGAAGCCTAACAGCGTATCAGTCACCAAGACAATCTAAAACAATTTGCCACATCAAAATAATTTCATTCGTTAAGAGAACAAAGTGTGTGGTGTGTTTGTTCTGCCCTTGTTCCCTTCATCCTGCCCAGTTAATAACTGTTTGTGAAAGGCTGACTAATGTTTATTAGCAAGAAGGTAGTTGTACTACTACTACACAGTTTTTACTGATACAGGGTGCCCAGATAGCTCAGTTTAAGAAGCTTAATTACTTGGGGGGGGGGGGGGGGGGGGGGGGGGGGGGGGGGCTGGGGGGAATGCCCTTAAAATCAAGACTGAGATACTGATAAAGCATTCTGTATCTCTAAAAGCACTGAAGGACATTATGTTATTCACACAGCATTATGTTTCAACATTAGTTTTCCATAGAGCAAAGTTGTTACAGAGGGCATACACAAAGTCGTATCTTGGCAAATCATAGGATAGTTAGTAGCAGGAAATCAAGAACATTATAACATGTAGCTTCATGTTAATACCATGTACTTACTCCGGAATGACAAGACCTGTAGAGAGAAAAGCCTCACGTGAACATAGGGATCTCTTTGACTCAGGAAATTAATGTACTCCTAAATGATACAAAATCCCTTTTATTGGGTGTGGCTAGAAATTTAGAATTGGATGCCTTAAAAGACACAAATTGTGGTTAGTTCTAAGAGACAAATGATGCGATAAAAGTCTCTGACTTCACTGCCAGAACAGGCAAGAAGTTGGAGGCAAGAAGTAAGACTCGTTAGTTTTCTTACGTTCAGCAGCTGGAAAACTAATTTTAAAAAGTATTTGAATGGTCTAATGATAATAGATTTCTAAGTATAAATTTTAACAGTAAATGGCCAATTATGACAAAGCGTATTTCCTAGAAAGATCCAGAAGGGCATAAAAATGAAAAAAAAAAAAAAATGGACACAGAAATCAAAGATTGGGTTTTTGACAAGGAAAGTTTAATTATTAAATGGAGACTAAGAGCAGTCAGCAGTTGTATTTGCAGCTCTAATTTCAGTGACTTGGAGCCTGCTGTTAAACAATCTCCTGTAGCTGTTACTGGGGAAAGGGAGATACTGCTCTGTGTAAATAAAACTTGAAGCAATTTGCAACTCTGATACCTTGACAAACGTCAATGTGCAGAGATACTACAGGCAAAGGTGTACGAGCACTGTGGGTGAGGCAAGACGGCTCAGTCAAAAAAGTCTTTCTTCTTTCTCTGTGCTCTAATGCTTTGCTACCTTCTGGCATTATGGTCACCATGTTTGCTACGGTTAGGTATTTTTCCTACAAAAGAACAAACTCATGAATACAAAAGCAAGAAAGCAGATTTTGACAAGGATTTTTCACCTGTTTTCTTCCCTTTTCTTGTTTCCTGAACCATTTGTCAGTCATTTAGGTAACCTTTCTGGCAAAATAACAACAGGCAGTCTAAAAGTAAATGGGGGGGGGGGGGGGGGGGCCGGGAGGGCAAAAGCAGAAACCAGTTTCTGACTCTAATTACACCGACATAAATTTAGTATACTTTTAACGAATACTTTAAACCTGTGGGATATGAATAAATTAATTGTAATATTACAGTTGGTTTAATTCAGGGTATTTATTCTGTGCACCAAAAATGTTGCTGTTGGTAAAGTAATGCAAGAAGATCTGCATGAAGAAATTTGAATACATTAGTCAGTCAATTATATTGCCAAAAAAAAATGGAAAATATGTATGATATTTATCAATTTCTATGTTACCCCAGCCAAAGTTGGTACTGCTGTACACTCATTTTTCATTTCATGACTCTTCAATGAAACAGTCCCACAGCAACAGAAGCAGTAGTTAAGAGTCTTAGCCCTAAACCAGCAACTTTGTTTGAATTATTAGCAGAGTTTGAGAAATAATCACAGATAAGGAATCCCCCTTGGTTCTGTATTTTAGTAACTGTGGAATCTGCAAGCCCTAGGTTTAGAGCTTCTCATACACACTTAACAGAGCATTTGACTCTGCTTGGTTTCTTTTTTTGTGGGATGTAGAAAGTAGTGTTTTCCTGTGGCAAGGTGATGTGAAGATTTTTTTAAGAAAAGTTCACAGTTGTGGTCTGAATTAACCCTCTACTGCTTAGGACACTGTGAAAGTACCTTCAGGAGATGGATTAGAAGTTGTACCTTCATGTCCCTGCTGAGAATCAGAGAGGAGGCAAACTCTTAAGAAATCTAGTCCTGCTCCACATGATGTCTGGGTTTCTGGGATGAGCTGAACCTTTGAATTTTCGTGACTTCAGTGTGGTACGTTTTATGAGGATTACAGTTGCAACTGAAGTTGTAATACATGTGCTTCTAGTATGAATGTTGTTCAGAATATTCAAATATTTATCCCTCATGTTCATATTTTGCCTTCTTACTGAATAAGTAAATAGAAGCAATAGAGTTATACTATGTTCTTTGCTCCAGTGTTAACATGCGAATACATGTTTTCTTTTGTTTTTGACCACATGATGAGGAGTCTGGCAAGCCAGAATTAAACTTGTGTTCCAAATTTACCACTAAAAATGTTAGGCACAGTATTCTGTCTCTTTCAAACTACAAAATGGCCTGGGTTTGGATCTAGTTCTTAAAGCCTTCCACCTTCCATTTTGGTCTTAGAAAATTCTTATTTTCAGAAATTCCTAAAGCATAGTCTTGTGAAGGTGTGGGAAAAAATATGCTACTACATTAGTAAAAGACAATATAGTTTATGACCTACATAATTAGTCTGTTGTGCTGGAAATGAACAATGCCCATCTTGCAGGTCTGCCTGGCCAGAGAGGAAGGTGGTGCCTTAAGTAAAGCTGAGCAGAGACCTGGAATATGGGTCTGACTGTTGCCAGCATCAGTCTTTCTCTTCATTCTAAAAAAGCAAGATTAAACAATGGCATGTATAAATGGGTGAGAAGAAATACGAAGGCTCAAAACAAAGGACAGAACAGATAATTCTGAAACAAAAGAAACTGCATTTTTTTCTCATGATCTTGTGTTTCATATTTATATTCAACATGTTAAACCATCTTATAGAGTTCAGCTTTGTGTCTTCCGTAACTGTCATGTCTTCCCAAGTCAGTGAGTACAAACCTTAGCAGCTAAATTTTGCCTGTTGTCTAAATACAACATATGTTAAGAATAAGTTTAGCTAAACATTATACCTATCAGCAGAAATTACCATTTCATCTGTCACTGGGAATAATGAGCTCCAACCAGATGCAGTCTCAGTGAAGGTTTTTCTACACTTTAACTTTGTTTCTGAATCTTAAATTAAAAACAAAATGCCTTTTAGCACAAAAAGGATAAAATAAATGCTCAAAATGAGTAAGAAATAATTTATTGGTATGGATATACCTTTATGGCAGAAATGAAGCTAGGTTTTAACCTCGTTTAGGTAGTGTGTTAAGAAGAGAAAGGACAAGTTTTTAAAGCATACCTTAGAGTTTGAACTCCAGTTACCAGTTCACACAAAAGTAATTCTTGTACTTTTATTCATGTTAGCTAAATTAAGCTATGCACGCATGTAAACACAAGTTATAATTAAACCTGCATTTTACTATGTGACATATCCTTAGGAGCTCTCTTTAGTTTAAACCATATCCTAAGTCCTACTGACTGAAGTGTGTTTAAATGCTTTGCTGCACATTCCTGATGAATTACTGTATGTAAGTAATGATAAGGCATACGTATCAACATACAGCTGAAAAAGGATTAAAACCCAATATCAGAATAAGATCCTGGAAGCAAAATCTGAGGTATAGGTATCAGTGCCTCAAGAAATGACAACAAGCCTTGAACAAAAACAATCCAAAAGGAGACTCCTATGTCAGTCAGACGTATTTACCAGAAGGATTGTTATTCAGCCACCTTTTGAAGAAAAGGAGGAGGGAGTAGGTCATATCAACTGCAGATCATTTTAAATGATACCTATTTAGTTGAAAAGCAGGAAATGTGGGCGAATATGCTAATTCTTGAGAGAAAAAAAGAAAAAAGAAAGATGTAGTAAGAAGATACTGTGAATTAAAAGAAGACTCCAGGGAGACATTAAAGCAGCCTTCCAGTACCTAAAGGGGACTACAAGAAATCTGGAGACGGACTTTTTACAAGGACATGTAGGGATAGGACAAGGGGGAGCAGCTTTAAGGTGAAAGAGGGGAGATTCAGATTTTTTAAGAAAATACTGTTTCCTGTGAGGGTGCTGAGGCACTGACCCAGGTTGCCCAGAGAAGCTGTGGCTGCCCCATCACTGGCAGTGTTCAAGGCCAGGTTGCATGGGGTTTTGAGCATCCTGGTCTACTGGAAGGAGTACTTGCCCTTGGCAATGGTGGGAACTAGATGATTTTTAAGGTCCCTCCCAACCCAAACCATCCTATGATTCATATGATTCTAGGCAAATCCTATCTCTCCAAAGGGTTTGTTTCAGCTGTAACTATTCTGAGGCATTTTGTGATGTTTCTGTAGGTACAGCGCTATACATCCAAGGTAATAAAAGTTTAAGCAATGATACACAAAAAGAATCCAGATAAATCAACCTATGCTCCTCCCACTAGGACAACAGATGTATTTTTAAGCTGGAAACTTGGGGGAAAAAAGAAAAAACAACAAAAAACAGTGCTCTGCTGGAAAATGTGTCTGAAAGAAGGAAAGCAAATATGTGTTACAAAGTGGTGTTTCTTTTTCAGCTCCACTAATCCCTTGTACTGGGGCTATTAAGTAAATAACTTGCGGTTTCAAATCACCCAGCTGTGTCCATGGTTTCCAAAACCAGGTCACATATATGAGTCTAAAGGGCATCTGTACGGGAGGAGTGACATGAACTGAAGATAACCCAAATGGTTTTAAGCACCACGCCTTCTTGATTTGGGCAAATCAAACCACCTCCACTTTCACATGAACTGCTCTTATAAAGATAACACATGGAATATATCATTGGAGGTATTCAAGACTGGTTGAATTACTTTCTCCATAAAAAGAGACTGTTTTGGTTGACTGCAAGCTACTTTCCAAATGCTGTAATTCATACAGAGAAATTTCAATACTGGGCCCACTTATGTGGTAAAGTAGGATAGATTATGTCAAAACAAGTTTACCTATTGTCTTTCCTGAGGTTATGATAAGTAACTAAGGTTGAACACAGCAGGCTGTTTGTCATGGTTTAAGCCCAGCCAGTAACTCAGAACCATTCAGTTGCTTGGTCACCCCACCCCGAGTGGGATGGGGAGGAGAATCACAATTATGTAAACCCCAGGGGTTGAGATAAGAACAGTCCAATAACGTATAACACAAAACCACTACTGCTACTACTAATAATAATAATGAAAGTAACAAGGGGAGAGAATATAAAACTAAAAGGGGAAAGGGAAAAAAAGCAATAAACACAAGTAATGCATAGTACAATTGTTCACCACCTGCCAACCAATACCCAGCCCAATCCAAGCAGCAGTCTACCCTTCTGGGTAACTGCCCCCAGTTTATATACTGAGCATGATGTGCTGTGGTATGGAACACCCCTTTGGCTAGTTTGGGTCTTTTCTCTGCGCTCTCCTGGCTTCTCATGCTCCTCCTCACTGGCAGAGCATGAAAGACTGGGAAGTCCTTATTGGGGTAAACATTACTTAGCAATAATTAAAAACATCAGTGTGTTATCAGCATTGTTCTCAGACTACAGTCAGAACACAGCACTGTGCCAGCTACTAGGAAGGAGAAAAATAGCTGTTACAGCTGAATCCAGGACACTTCAAAATACCACCTTATAAAGGTTTATTCAGCATTTCTGTGAGGGTGGTGAGGCACAGGTTGCCCAAAGAAGTGGTAAATGCTCCATCCCTGGCAGTGCTCCAGGCCAGGCTGGATGGAGTCTTGGGCAACATGGTCTAGTGTGAAGTGTCTCTGCCCATGCAGGGGGTTGGAACTAGGTGATCTTAAGGTCCCTTCCAACCCAAACCTTTCTATGATACTGTATGCTTACGTATGTGCTTCAATTACCAGTTATTTCTTTTTAACTTCAAAAGACCTTAGTTCAAATGTTTATAAAAGCAGAGTATTAAGTAGATTTTTCTGAATTTAAAGGTGGAGTCTTCTTTTCTTACTTCAACTCCTCTTCAAAATCCTCAGGTCAATTTCTCAATATCTATGTCACAGATTTTTAAGAAACTGTTCTTAAACTAGTGTGAATGGTAATGAGAAGGGAGCACCATGCCAAATGGATGATCTTCATAGTGAGAATGGTTGCCCATTCTGAAATCACATGCAGAAAGGTACTTGAAAACATAAACAGTATTTGCATGCATTATTTTAATCTTCAGCATGATTTTTTGTGTATTATATCAATAATGAGAACATCTTCTCCTTGGAAGACTGGACCCTCTGTCTCAGGGAGAGTAGAAAAGCCTATACTGGTCTTTACAAAGAGCCCATTTGTGTTCCCAATAAAACACTGCACTCAACAGGAAGAAGACACAGGCTATCTGACCTCCATATAAAGAGTTTTGTTCAGAGGTTTTTCAGATAATTGAACTATATTTTCCATAGGCCTTATGCACATATTTTTACATCTAGGCAGACTTGAAAGAAAAACATAGTTCTTGAATTCCTAGCTGCCTGGAATTTGCATACTCTTGAGTGCTCTGAGCTATGCTGTGCCATGTGTGTGCACTCTGGTAGTGCATACCCCATCCATGGCCAAGAGGGAAATGTAAAGCAAATGAGTGCAGTAGCTTAGATGTGTTGTTCCAATCAAAACTAAATTGCAGAAGGAAATGAGGTGGTGTTATCACTTGTCGCATAGCTATCACATCAATCAAAAGATATTGTGAGGTGGACTGATGCCAACCTCATGAAGTTTAACCATGCCAAGTGCAAGGTCCTACACCTGGGTCAGAGCAATCCCAGGCACAGGTTGGGCAGAGAAGAGATTCAGAGCAGCCCTGTGGAGAAGGATTTGGGGGTGCTGGTCGACGAGGAAATGAACATGAGCCGGCTGCAGTGTGCGCTCGCAGCCCACAAAGCCAACTGTATCCTGGGCTGCATCAAAAGGAGCGTGACCAGCAGGTCAAAGGAGGTGATCCTGCCCCTCTACTCTGCTCTCGTGTGATTCGGAGAAAACTCCAGGGACAAATTTGCCAACAAAGTTTTCAAGCTGACAAGCAGGTATTCTTTATCGCGGCGCCGGGAGACATGGGGGATAGCCCCTCCTAACGTGTGTCTCCCCACTTGCCACACAAGCCGTCCTCTTATAGCCACCGGGCATACATACATATTCATGAGGCTACGTATGGATTACATCATTTTCCAGAAAGTTCCCCGCATGCATACAGAATTGTGGGGGTTGTCTCTGAGGGTCGTTTACTTCTTCCAACAATCTTCATCACTTCTGACAGCCTTTGGAGCATGCACAGTAGGTGTTCATACCATAGTTGGTTCGTTAGCACCAGAGACATAATAATCCTCCTGTCCTCCTACTTATCAGTTAGTTTAACTGTAGCCCATCCTGGACACCTGCCATTCCTAGATACTCCTTATCCCTGTGTCCTGTTCTTCTAGACTGTTTTTCTTAAATCTATGTCAACTATAACGATTTATCTTGTACAAGAATTCTCAGTATGTTCTCTAGCTGTACTCTATTTTTTTTCTATGTATCATGCACTTCAGTAATTTTCCATTGCTACTGTTACAAAGCCATGAAACTTAACATTACTTAAAACTGATTCTAAAGGTTTATATATTCCATTTTGTAATTTTGTGCCCCCACCCCTTGTCTCATGTGAGACCTCACCTGGAGTATTGTGTGCAGTTCTGGTGTCCTCAACATAAAAAGGACATGGAACTGTTGGAACAAGTCCAGAGAAGGGCCACGAGGATGATCAGGGGACTGGAGCACCTCCCGTATGAAGACAGGCTGAGGAAGTTGGGGCTGTTCAGCCTGGAGAAGAGAAGGCTGCATGGAGACCTCATAGCAGCCTTCCAGTACCTGAAGGGGGCCTATAGGGATGCCGGGGAGAGACTCTTCATTAGGGACTGTAGTGACAGGGCAAGGGGTAACGGGTTAAAACTTAAACAGGGAAGTTTAGATTGGATATAAGAAGGAAATTCTTTCCTGTGAGGGTGGTGAGGCACTGGAGTAGGTTGCCCAGGGAGGTTGTGAATGCTCCATCCCTGGCGGTGTTCAAGACCAGGTTGGACAAAGCCTTGGGTGATATGGTTTAGTGTGAGGTGTCCCTGCCCATGGCAGGGGGGTTGGAACTAGATGATCTTAAGGTCCTTTCCAACCCTAACGATTCTATGATTCTGTATGTTTTGAACTTTGAAGTTGACCATGTACCTGATGTATTTATGGAAAACATATTTTATCTTTGAACTTGGACTAAGTTAGCATGTCGAGATCTGACACTGTTTCTCTCTCCATGGGAGGTTTTTTAATGAGAGACAACAAAACACCATCTGTTGGGAGACAGGCAGCTGACCCTGAAATTCTGTCACCCTGACAGCACTCTCAACTGTATTGTGTTCCCTGCCCAGAAGATCCTCCCAGTAATGCTGTTCCCCAGTCACTGGAAGCTGCTGTCCAAGAGTCAGAACAGATCATAACAGACCACACAGTGACTTCTGTACCCTTTAAACATAGTAAAATGGCAACAGATAGGTACTGGAATAAAGTGTGATACATAGGGGTTGTGCCTGTTTAAACCCATGGGTTTATACAATTCCACAGGAGGAATACAATTAGCTCTCAGGCCAGAGCAGGAACCTGGAGGGAGTCAGAGAGAGGATTTTATGAAGTCTCAGAAGCTTAAGATTGATCTGTAATAAAAAGAAATCAGTATCAGGTTCTGCTGTGGTGAGGAAAAGAAGCAGCAAGTATATTTGGGGTTTTATTACTTAGATCTGGTTGAATGCAGGTAAAGAGAAACTGGGAATGAGTTTAGGGAGTTTGAGTGGGAAGGATGACTGGAAAAAGTCAGGTCTGTGGAAACCAGTGGGATTATAGGAGGAGAAAGATGAGGGAAGTTCTGGGGCTTCGGGGAGTCTCACACTAGTCCTCATGCCTGCCCATGACGGATACAAGACACATCCTTCTGCCTCCCCCACTTCCCAGTAGCCTCTCCTTCCATCCACAATCCCTCCCATTTTAAAGCCCAAAGGCCTCTTCTTTCTTATTCCTCCTACTGAATGGCTGTCAGCTCCCACCCTCCCCAGGGGAAGCATTCACCCGACTCTGGACAGGGCAGGGCAGAGACAGCCAAAAGTAAGCAAGCAGGTTGTTGCCAGCTCACACATGTAACAGCCCACACTTCACACACTCCACCTTCACCCCAACAAGATCTTGCAAAACAGACAGCAAGGTTACATACTGCTGTTTACTTTGGCTCTGACTGGAAGTTAAGCTTGACAATTGCCACTGGTATTGGTATTGGTATTGGTATTGGTATTGGTATTGGTATTGGTGAGAAAAGCTTCCACAGATTTCAGCTGATGTCCAGAGTAAAAATTGGTTTGTTAGCAAGCCTCTTTTTCCCTTGGGTGTTCAAAGGAAGGCTGAGGAAGCCTTTTGCCACTGCTACTTTTGCAAAGATGTTTGGATGCTGATGGTACTTGTACGGCAGTTTTAAGATGCTTCTGTTAGCTGCTAGAATACACAACAGCATATACATTGTTTATGTTCTTTATTGCTTCCTGCAGAATAAAATTTTAAAGACATTTTTCTTTGCCTCCCAAACCAGGCAAAATAATAGGGTAAAACGCGTAGAATCCTTTGTGGAAAAACAGAGTATAGCAAGAGTTAGCAGTAGTAAAGGACATTCTTGACTGAACCAGCTGTACAGCATTACACTATTTAAACAACTTATTTCTGCTTATGCATACTGTGTAAAATTAGGTGTAGAAAACTCCCTAGTGTATTAACTATGACATTTGGACTTCTTAAGTGTGTGAAACATACATAACCTTTTGTTCATACAAAAGCACAGACTAAGGCTTATTGCTATTTCATGAACAATTGCTTCTTTGCCCTGGAGAACAGAAGGTGGTCACTGGCAGAGAAGTATTCAGTCTGGAAAGAACAGAGTGTGCTCTGGTGCCACTGGTTTGGTTTTACTGGAAAGATGTATCAAATTAATAGATATGTTAATTAACAGTTACAGTAAAATGCGGACTTGCCCTTACTATGGCCAAGGGCATATCTATGTTAACTGCTTCTGTCTGAGATAGTCACAATTAGTCACTCTATTTAAAAACACAGTGTATTAAAAAGTTCATTTAGTATTTTCTAACCAACGGGACTCAAAGGGATAATGTAGGTGCCAAACAGCTGATTTTAAATACCAGCAAGGAGCCCTAAAAATGTTGTTCTGCTCATGCGCACAAGCAGGTTGTCCTGAATCAGGGTATCTCTCAGCACTCCTCACCAATGCCCCTCACTTTTCAGGCTCTATTAACCCCCTTTGGAACTGAGGATGAGGAAATTTGTGACTAGATTTCTGACATTAAAAGGGTCTCTTCTGACAGGATTTCTGCAGTAGGTCTGCCCCTTTAAATATTCATTAAGACTTGCAGAGACTCAGGAATGAGATCAGTTCCATATACTTTGTAGTAAATTGTAATTACAAACTAAGAATAGGCAGAATGCGCATTTCTTTTATAGTCTCCTTGTTTTATACAAACCGTAAATAACTACCTACTATTTCACGTTACTGTTTACAGGAAACTGCAAGTATATAGTTAAGACAGAAAATCATGGGGTTTATGCCAACTATGCTACAGTAATCCTGGATAAAACACACTCCTTTGTTGTACACTGTTCAGATTGTGGCCACACTGTCTTAGCTATATTTCCCTGCAAACCAGATACTACTTACGTTGTTGTACTTAAGCATACACACTCAGCTGTCCTGTTTTTTAACTGAAGACTGAAACAAAGAAAGCCTTTTGCCAACACTTGCTCTCAATGCTATTTTACTATATCAAGACTTGCCCTTAAATACAAATATCCAAAGTTTTCATAAAGATAGTTAAAATGATAGATCTACATTTTTAACAAACTTTTTTTATCTTTGCCAGGTCTTCTATCGTATAATGTAAATTTCTTTAGGTGACGGTGAGGAGCGTGAACATCTCCGTCTAGGAGTTAATGCTATAAGAAGCATCACTGCTGCCTGCCGATATGCACTATAGGAGTTTTGACTTCAGTGAGTGTGAAAATTGTGTACTCCCAGTTAGCTCTTCTGATTCCCTTGCCTGTCCCAGAAAAACATCAAGAGAACCTGAAAAGTTACAAGAAGAAAGGAACGAACATGGGGCTTGTGCATACTCTTTGGCAAGATTGCAATCTGAAGAGGTAGTAAATTTTTGACCATTTAGTTCAAAGACATAAACAGACTTGTGTTGACTTTAACTTTGAATTAAGTCCTGAACTCCTGTAAATTTTTATTAGCCAATGAGGTAGAGTCTAGGATTTTCTAGTACTTACAGTCTACGATATTTAGTAGGAGCCTGCATAAACCAAGAGAAAATCTATGCTTCAGATCCTAGTTTTCAAGGATAAATCACTCATAAATTAATGATCTTCGAAAGATCTTTTTCTTTCCAGATTCAATTTGTAAACAAGACAAACAAAAACAGGAACTAAAACCACAAATAAAACAAAACCCAAAGACACCCCACCAGCAAGGAAATTCTTGCAGTCATCAAGAGTATTCTAGGAGGTGAACAAGACTTCTAAGCATCTCCCACATCTCGATGCAATGAAAACTACTAGAGAAGAACAGGAAAAGCTTTATATCTCCTGTGACAGAAAACGAGCCAATAGAGCATGGGCTTAAGAAAAAGACAAAATGTAAAGAAAAAGTGATGTAAGATCTGGTCAGTGAAATACTAACATGGGGGTTTGCTTGGTCAAGGCTGCTTATCTGAAATCCATCTTATGCGGGTTTTTGTCAGAAACTACAACTAGAGCACCTTTTTTATTACTCAAATGGTAATTCTCACATTCCTAGTAATATTTGGGCACACTTCATAGAAATAGCTTTGAATTGTCTTTCAACCTGTACTCAAAAAGCCTCATGTCTGGGATTTACCTTTTAAATCTTGTCCGTCTTACTAGCATCCACCAGGGAAGCATAAGCAGCATACATGCACGGCAAGAGATTTTATTTATTCCGACAGTATTTACTGTACCTCAACTACATAGAGTAGCAGAGTAGCATACCTAACATCTGACATTCTAAGATGGTTTAAGGAGAACTTAATTCCATCAGCAAATTTTCTGCTGGGCTTTTGTGCTTGCAAGTATGTTGACCATTTTTCACACATGCAGTTTAGCACATTAGAGCACACAGCCACATATCCCGCTTACTGTCACTGCACCATTTTTCATATTACTGTCTAACAAGTTTCCAAGGTTTATTTATTTTACTCTTTCTCCAGTACATGTATTATAAAAATAAATATTTAATCCTTTTGTCCATTTGCTCCTTTTCAGTCCTTATGCATTAAAATTTCAATTTCAGTATGAACCTTGCCCAATAGAAGTCTGAAAGGTGAGCGTACAATTGTTACTTTTAAATTGAACTCAAGCAATCATCCTGTAAAAGCTTTTCGTAGGCAGAATCCATTAATAGTACTATAGTGTAATAAGCCTACAATAGGCACTCTTTTGTGTTTTATTTGCAAACTAATTTTCTACTGGTGAATAAAACAAAAGCCATACAAACAGGCAATAAAATTACATTTCCATTTTCAAGAGCAGCAAAAGGTAAATCTGCCGGAAACATCTTTGTTTCTATTGAGTATGCATCCATTTGGCAAAATCTATTACTACATGCTTCCTTACTTTCTGTATTCTTACCTTCCACTTGCTTTACCCGTCAATTTTCAGTTGCATTATAAAGACACCTCAGCCTGTGGCATTAGATGCAGCCATCCAGTGCTATGCTATCACATCCCATAAAGCAAGAGACATTCTTGGTGCCATAATAGAGGAGGGGGGAGGGCTAATCCCTTCCAGTAAGCCCACCTCTGATGCCTGAGTCAGCAACCTGTTCTTTGGTTTCACTAGCAATATTAAAGGTGTATTCACATTAAACTCAATTTTGTCTTTGTCACTAGTGATACACTTTCATACTTCACAATTCTTACGATTCTTGCTTGTTTTGTCTTTTTCCTTTGGAAGCTTCATATGCTATCTTGTCTCTGTGTCAGTGTTTTTGCATACATGCAAAAGATACAGTCTCTCATGCAGAAGATACTGTCCTCCCTGAAAAGCTTCACAATCTCAATAAGGCTATGATCCTGATACCTCTTCCCCCACTCTACGAATATGGAGCAGAAAGGCTGTGGTTTGCCAGAAGTCATTGAGAAAAGAGAGAGAGAGAGAGCCAAGAGCTGAGAATGGATTTCTTACCTCCCAAGTCAGTGCCCTAACCACAAGCACAGCTATTCTTTCTTGCTAATGTATTGGCATCTGTATTATAAACCTGTCTTGTGAGCAATGAAACCAGTTAATTGTGATCATCTGAACAGCACAAACCCAGTGACACTACAGGCAGGCTAGGCAGCAGACCTACGCTGCTGAGAAGCTCAGCTGCATTAGAGTCAGGGGGATAGGTATAAATACAATGGAGGGCATGCACACTTTGAAATGCATTTCCACTTAGGCAGTTAACTGTGTGGGTGGGAACTTTACCACTGCCCCTATTTTCCCAGTGTTACTATGTGGGTTTGGGATGAGCATCTAGAGACAGCATGTGATTTAAGCCATTTTTGTTTATTTCTGTCATATATCCTATATGTGATTACAGATCCAAAGGTGGGAGAAAGCAAGACAAGGGTGTGAATACTCTGAGTCCACCTGGAAGAATTCTTGGATAGGAATAAACTGCATTTGTCCTTTTGGCATAAGCCACATATTCCTGAGGATGGGAAAAACTGGGACATAGCTGGCTCATGAAGGAATGAAGTGGATCACAAGTTAAAAGATGTTGACAGACCTCAGCCAAATCTGAACCTCAGATCAGGGAAACAGGTCACAATAGTCAGTCTTTTTAAAAGCTCATTAAGAGTCAGGTATTCTGTGTAGTAACTGTATAGATTCCAGCTATGGGAGCAAGTCCAAAGCATGCTTTACAGGGTCCTTTGACTCTCACTGACGTGTTTTTCCTTTTTTTCCCTGCGGAAAAGGCCAGCAGCCAAAGTAAAGTCTTCTTGTCTTGAGCCCTTCTGAAGAATATGTGAGGAGGAATATCTGTTCTATTTTATTTCTGGTTTATTTCAGCATAGATTGGAATCATACCTGATTTTTTTAGTCCTGGCTAAAAAGTAAACTGAAGTTTTCTGTATAACTAACATGAAACTTGATCGCTTGCTTCTATGTGGAGTATTTAAGAAGACGAGGAAAGCAAGTCTGTTAATTCATT